TCTTTCAAAAGGCGGGTGCTTGGTGCGCCTGATGCGCCTTGTGCCATAAGCCCAAGCGTGCGCCTTTTTAAAATTTTGCGCTTCGCTCGCTCACCGAAGCTCCAAGAACCCCCTATTTGCTAATGTTGTTTATTCATTCATTGCAATAGACTTGTTCGGGCTTGCCTCGAGGAGCGTGCTACAAAGGCAACTCATAGAATCAAGAATGCAATATGTTTTGCATCACATTAACTACTTGAAGCAATGCAATTAAGGAAAAAAAGAGATTGTGGGTTTTACATGCTTGAAATTTATTTTTAAATTTTCATTTGAATACACTTTACATGTTATGTTTATGTATTTTAATTTTAGATAATAGGTTTTTTAAATCATTTATTTTGAAATTTAATTTTATATTTTTATTAACATTATGTTTAATATTTTTTAATTTTTTTGCATTTTTTAAATTTTTTTGGCATTTTTTGGAAATTTCTGACTTTTTTTATTTTTTTTAGCTTTTCTTTTGTAATTTTGCACCTTTCTTAAAAAGGTATGCGCCTCGCCTTGCGCCTTGCGCCTTAGGCGCAAATTGGCCCTTGCGCTTTTAAAACACTGGTCTAAGTAGTCAATGCCATATGTCTAAGTAAATCCCTTTGCAACTAATTTGGCCTTATACCTTACAATGGAACCATCAGCATTATGCTTCACTATAAACACCCATCTACACTTAATTGGTTTCTTCCCTTTAGGTTGATCAACTAGCTCCCATGTTTTGTGCTTCAGAAGGGCATCCATTTCTACCTTCATTGCATCCTTCCACTTAGGTACTGACAAGGCTTCCTACACTATTATGGGAATGGGAATAGTAGCAATGGATGCCCAAAAGGACTTGTAAGAGGGAGACAAATGATCATAAGACAAGGACTAGGAAATACAATGAGCTGTAGATTAGGTACAAAATGGTGTTTCCCTTTACGGGTTGCAATGGGATGGTCAAGATCATCCAATGGAGGTGAAGGTTCAACAATGGAAGGTATCTCATCTGTAATGGAAGGTGAAGGAACTATGGTACCTAGATCTGGATCCATAGAAGGAATTGGAGATGGCTTGGACTGCTGATGAACGAAATCAACCTACCTTCATTGTTTGTGATAAACTCTCAAATCCCGACACATCTGACAACCCTCCTCACTACACTCCCCTTCAGTGATTGGGACAGGTAATGGAATTTCTGATGAATGAACCCCCACCTCACTACTCCCCCCCCCCTAAGAAGAAACCCTAGGATAATAGGGTACATCCTCAAAGAAAGTGACATCCATAGAAACAAACCTCCTCCCAGAAGTAGGTTCATAGCAGCAATATCCCTTTTGAGTTTGTGCATAACCAAGGAAAATGCATTTTGAGGCTTTAGGATCAAATTTGGAATGATGAGGTCCAAGGATTTGAACAAAACAAGTACATCCAAAGGTCTTAAGGGGAATAGTAAACAACTCTTTATCAGGATATAAAAGGGTAAATGGAACTTTCATGTCTAGAACCCATGAAGGAACTCGGTTGATGAGATACACAACTGTATGAATGGCATCTCCCCAGAAACATATAGGCACATTGGAGTTAAACATAATGCTTCTAGCTACCTCCAATATGTGTCTATTCTTACTCTCAACAACCCCATTTTGCTGAGGTGTATGGGGATAGGTACTCTGATGGATAATCCCATGGTTAAGGAAATGTGAGGCTAATGGTTTTGCAAAATACTCTTTCACATTATCGGATCTGAAAATTTTGATTTTGACCCCAAACTGGGTCAAAACTATCTGATGAAAGATCCGGGTTAAGGTAGGGACCTCATCTCGAGAACGCATAAGGTAAACCCATGAAAAACGAGTGGTCATCAACAAACAACAAGAAGTATTTGTATCCCCCCATAGAAGTGATACGATAAGGTCCCCAAATATCAGTATGCACAATTTCAAAAGGAATACTACTTTTATTACTCAAAGAATAGGTTGTTCTACAATGCTTTGCAAGTTCACAACTTTCACATTTCAAATTGGACATCTAGAGTGACTCAAACAAACTAGGAAACAAACTTTTCAAAGACCTAAAAGATAAATGACCTAACCAGTTATGCCAAAGCATAACCTGACTAACAAACTGAAAAACAAAAGACCTCCCAACTTCCCTATCTTCCCTACGTGAGCTCCCTCCAAGCAGGTAGATTCCATTCGTCTCATGGCCAATCCCAATCACCTTCCTTGTCTCCAAATCTTGAAAAACACATTGATCAGGAAAAAAATGTCACTGAACAATTTTGGGTTTTAGTGATGCTACTAATTGAAAACAAATTAGTATTAAGTTTAGGAACATGTAAAACTAAAGACAAAGAAATGGCATTAGACAATTTAATGTTTCCCTTGCCAGAAATGAGAACAAGGGAGCCATCAACAATAGACACTTTGTCTTTGCCAGAGGATAAGTGATATGTAGTAAACAGTGAGGACAAGCCAGTCATGTGGTCGGATGCACCTGAATCTATCACCCAACAAGGTTCAGTGTTACCTGGGACTGAGGCATGATATGCTGAAGCCTGTGTACTTGAATGAGCAAATTCTGAAGTGGAAGTAGCAGATGTTGTGATTGATGGCTGAGATAATGGTGCTGAATTGCCTAGTTCACTCTCCAACTGAGTCGGAGCAGCCCGAACAGCAGCTAAGGTGTCTAGGGATGTGGCTCTTGTGCTAGATGAGGGTGCACCATCAGTAGTAACAGTCACGTTGGGATTTCCCCTTTTGTTTTTGAGCTTTGCTGGAACTAGATGTGGATGTAACTTCCAACAGGTGTCTTTAGTATGTTTTGGTTTCTTGCTATGTTCACATACTAGCTCCCTCTTATCTTCCTTCTTCATATCCCTCTCCTTATCACCCCCAAACTTTGGTTTCACTACTGCCAAGGCTGATTCAAAAGGCTGATGGTACAACATAACCTTTCTCCTACTTTCTGCACTGTGCACTAAAGAGTAGGCTTGTGACAAGGTCGCACTTGCTCTGGAGAGGAGTTGTTGTCTCACAATATCATATTCAGAATTTAGACCAGGTAGGAATTCAAACACTCTATTAGTTTCAACTTGTTTTCTGTAAGTTTGTGCCATCTGACTTTCCCACTCAATTGTCTCTAGGTGGTCAATTTCATGCCACAAGGATTTCAAAATAGAGAAGTAAACAAAGATTGGTTTCTCTCATTGCTTAAGGTTGTTTACTTCACATTTCAGCTCATAGACCCTAGCAACATTAAGTGGTTGGGAGTAGGTTTCTTTCATGATGTCCCAAATCTCATTAGCAATTTTTGCCCACAAGTAGTTTCGGCTCATGTGGGGCTGCATAGAGTTGCACAGCCATGTCATAACCAAATAGTTCTCCTGAACCCATTTGGCATAGGTTGGGTCATCCTTAGTTGGTTCCTTCACATCCCCCAATAAATAGTTCAGTTTTCCTCTACCCCCAAGAGCCATCATGGCCGACTGGGCCCATTCCAAGTAATTTGATCCGTCAAATTTGACAGTTGTAATCTGAAATGCGTTCTCAGACATGTTACCAGAACCACCAGCCCCTAAAGCACCTTCCCCTTGATTCTTAAACTCCATTCCTGTCAGCCCCTTTCAAAATATTGATAAAAAACACCGAAACAGGTGTAATTGCACCCAGAACTTGCTAACAGCCGACCTAGAAAGGTGAAATAGGTTCAGCAACCACCCAGAAGTATTGGAACAGATCTTTTAGTTTCCTAGAAAACAAAATTACTCAATCTGGAATGCTGTAACAGATCTAACTATTGCCCCAGAATTGGCAAATCATAAACTTAGGGTTTTAATCCTAGAACTGGTCGTAGGTCAAGAAAGAAACCCTAAAACTCAGGAGAAAAATAGAAAACTCTCAGCTGCACCTCCCAGTTTGCTCAAAAAAAGTTTTTATTAAGGTCGATCTCAAGACCAAACACCAACTTACTCAGAAAAGTCTGGTTGCCACCTCCAAACCACAGCCTGAACCCTAATCTTGAGGTTTCTTCCCTTCTTATGATTCTTCATGATCACTGGACACACCCTCCAAGGCCCTACGATCCCTTGGGCATCAGCTTCACACTGCCAGCAACCTCCAAGAATCAGCCGATGGTCTTATCTATGCTGGAACTTCCAACCCTAGGAAGTTCTCATGTAGTCGGCCTGATTAGACTCGCATGAGAAGCCCTAGGTTGGCTCTGATACCAAGTTGTCCACTAGGACTGCAATCAGTCCTAGTTATAATGTACAAAGAAATAAGGAAAAGGTTTGAGAATCAGAGGAGAAGAAGAAAGAGAAGAAAAGGAGAAGACGAAGAGAGGAAGTCAAAAAAAGTGTGGGTTATGACATGAATTGTCGCCCCACTCAACTATTTATATTAATAGTTAAAATAGGGGAAAAAACCTGACTTACCCCTACTGCTTACATAAGCAAAGAAATAAGAAATATAGCAAACTGAAAATAACTACCAACTACCACTAACATAAATAAACAAAAGTAGTGGGGACCACATAACAAACATAGTGGGGACCACATTAATGTTCTCTACAAAATACAAAGAGCATGGAATTATAGGAAGATAGGGTAGGGTTAATATTGAATATTTTATATCATCCTTTTGACCTGAGTCCTTGACACTTGGTGCATTAGATTTCCATGGTAATGCCCTAAATCCAATACTACCTGTTAACATATATGGGTGATGTTACTGATAAAAAAAATGACGGGTGATGCCATAAGTCCTGTATATATCCTGCTAAAAATGTGTATGAGATATCATGCTTTCCAGGAACCATGTGATCTCTATTAAGAGGAATTTCTATTACGTTCTAAAATATCTCCCATCTTTCTCATTCTTATGTATGATACTACTGCAGCACTGGAGTGATTCACTAATATGTGTTTGTTAGGTAATATTACCCCATTTGACCTTTCTAATTATTTTCATGTTATGTACTGGAAGTCCTCTATATGATTGGAAAGCCATGGAGAATGATGGATTTGTGTGGTGGATACAGAGAATAAGGCGTGCATATAATCTGTATGATGAATTCAGAATAGATCATTTTCGAGGATTTGCTGGCTTTTGGGCTATTCCTTCTGGTGAGACCATTTATAATTATGTAGATTGAGTTGCTCTTTTCGATGTAAGTATATTATAGTAATTTTAACTGCATCATTGTGCAGAATCAAAGATTGCTATGGTCGGAAGATGGAAGGTCAGGTCTATGAAAGCTTATTTCTAGTTGTTTTTTCTATAGCTAACCTAGTAATTGAATGCCTTCTTTCCCTCCCCTCCCTCTTTTTTCTTTTTGACTGAAGGCTGGACCAAGGAAAGCATTATTTGATGCCATCTTCAGAGCTGTTGGAAAGATCAATATAATAGCAGAAGACTTGGTATGGTTTATTGTATTCTAGTCTTCCAACTATCCTCTCTAATCTCAGTCTGTGATGTCCTACCCTGATGGTATTATTTTTAAATTGTACTTTTTCTGTTTACAAAACTCTGGGTCAAGAACCTTTATATATACAATTTACATTCCTGTGGTCCCTTATCATGGTCCAGAAGCTGGGGGAATTTTAATATATACCATTAATCAGCCTACTAAATTTTCTTCCATTTCCATTTTCCCCCAATTTACCTTTCCTTGTATTTTTTGAAAATGGAAACAAAATTTTCTTCTATAATGATTGTTCTGTTCAATATGCCTTTCCATATATTTGATGAACATGCAAAACATAAGGCCATTCCCTGTGTACAGCTTCTTGTTGTACATGGTTTTGTTCTCTTTTTTCTCCTTCAATGAAATTATATTTTACCTGTTTCAAAAACACATAAGGCCATTCCCAACTGTCCAAGGTTTCAGCTGCAACTGTCAACATTAAATTGCTAGTGCAAAACATACAGTTTGGGTGGGTCTATTTTGTAATTGGCTTTATCAGATCTTCACAACTTCTTGTTGTAATTCTTTCTTTTTAAGATTTAATGAATGAACGAATTTCTGTATTGCCGATAAAAAAAATTAAATTGCTAGTGCTTCTTGTCTAGTATTGCAGTTGCTCTGAAAATAATGTGAAATTGGAGACTCCTTGGACTTTGCACTTTGATGCTATTGAGAAGCTCCAAAGAGTGACTTGAGAAAATAAAATGAGTTTAGGACCAATATTCAGCATTTTGGGTGACATATCATTAAATGTATCAAATAATTCTTGTAGTCATCTTTGTTTCTACTTCCAAAAAGCTCTCTGGTTTGCTTTTGTCAATAAATTTGATGCCTGTAATGTTGTCTTTTTACTTCATTATCCTGTGTGCCTTAATAGGGAGTAATCACAGAGGATGTAGTTCAGCTAAGGAAAGCTATTGGTGCACCTGGAATGGCTGTTCTCCAGTTTGGTAATGAATTGCTGATTATTTGGCAGATGATAGCAAATTTCCAAATCTTTATCCCGAGAAAGTCCTTTTAACTTGCTTTATATGATATTTTCTTGGTGCAGCATTTGGAAGTGGCTCAGATAACCCTCATTTACCTCATAATCATGAGCGTGACCAAGTAGTATATACTGGGACTCATGATAATGACACGGTGAGGGTCTTCTATTTTTTAATGATCCTCCTTATACTTGCAGAAAAATTGGAGAACTGTCTAATTGTCAAGAGGTCATTACTAGTTGACATACTTGAAATAGAATAATGTCCTGACTTTAGTGACATCTTTAAACATTCTTTCTGGAGCTGTGTTTGTAAAAGTATTGTTCAAATTCTTATAAACATTATTTCAAGTTAAGTACAATGTGCTAGGGAAAGGAACCATCCCTTCCTACCTATGGTACAACTACAAGTGACATGTATGCAGGGGATCCGGGTGGTTGTTTGATGGGTTCAACATAGAAGATCTCTTTGGCAGAAGGTGACTTGATCTATTAGATTCCTTGGATGATCAGGAAAGATATGGAAGCCAGCACATGTAAATGCCAATAGATGGAGATCTAGGATGATACCATTGGATCTTTGTATAGTGTTAATACTCTGCCAATGTAAATTGAGCTGGTTTTTGTAGATCTGTTTTGTACATCTTTTTTTTAACCCCCTCCCCTTTCTACTCTTGAACGAAAATTACCTTTTTTCCAAAAGAAGGAAAAAAAAGGAACAATTGGATCAACTTATGGAGATCCAGGCAGGATCATCAAATTTTGCATGCCCATGGATGGCCACCTCACTTAAGCACCTAGGCTTTTTGTACAAGGTTCTACCTTTTTTTTTATTTTTTCTGAGATTATAATAATAAAGAAGACATTATAATGCAACATTATTAATTTTTTGGGTTTATGTACTAGTTTCCTTGTATTATTTACTTATTTGTTATGGTTCAATCAACACACATGTTGGTATATGCCGTCTTGAACCCTTGAAGAATTCAAAACCTGAACCCATAAGCAAGAAAGAACTTAAAATTTTATCCAATCAACACATTCTTCTTCTTTTGACAAACCAAGGGTTCAGCCCCTATATTTTTTGAAATTTCATTCTTTCTCTTCTCAAGTTCTCTTGGTTATGTTAATTCTCTAGACTTTGGTATGAGGTTTATACTTATTTGATGGATATTCATAATTACAAATGAAAGATGATTTGTGGATTCTATGGAACCTAGGGAATTATCCTAGGATTTAGGGTTTTATTAAAAAAAAAAAAGAACATTGCCTAGGTGGGTGCCCCCCTTCCCCTAGCCTCACCTTAGCATTCACAATAGTATGGTCCTGCTTTCCACGTGCCATAAGGAATATTGTGGATAGGACGGATAGATTCTTTCTGTTCTCACCTAAAGATTTTTGTATGGCATTTCCATTCCCTTTATTGACATAGCTTTCAAGTTCCAAGACCCGTTTGCATAATTTTTCAGGTTCGAGGTTGGTGGGAAAACTTGAATCAGGAGGAGAAGACCAATGTGAGTATCAACTTATTGTTTTTTGGGTCATGCTTATCGTCTGGTTAAATGTTGGATTCAGTTGGACATTGTTGTAACAGGTCTTGAAGTACCTTTCAATAAGTGAAGAAGAAGATATTTCATGGTCTCTGATTCGGGTTGCAATGTCTTCAGTGGCCCAAGTTGCCATCATACCCATGCAAGACGTTCTTGGTTTAGGAAGTTCTGCTAGGATGAATACTCCAGCAACACAGGTAAGGCTCAAATACTTATTGATATGCAATTTTCAGGTTAAACATCAAACTTCCTGTTCATAAACATTCTGACTATACTAGAGCTGCCTGGTTTTCCACCTCCAGGCAATAAACTGTAGTTTTTTTTTTTTTTTTTTGCTTTCATAAAAAATTTATTAGATCTCTAATTCCAGTGCTATTAACTTATCTCCAAACTCCTCTTTGTTTGCCAATGCAATCAGAAGAAAATCTGCTTTCCTATCTATTCCATTAACTAATGCTCATATTCCTGCCACGTGAATGCTCTGCTGTGTAGGTCTAGGTCATTACTAGGACATACATGTATACGTCATTCATTGGATGTTTGGACTTGCATGTATCAGCTCAGTGATACTGAGTGCAGTATCCAGTATGTGATGCCCTTTCCAGGCTGAGTAAAAACAAAAATAAATCTAATAAATACGAAAGACAATTAGTCTAAAAATTCAGAAATAAAAAACTCAATTGCCTCAAATTGAATTGAAATTTGTCCTGTTGTCCATATGGGGTATTTGCAGCTGAGGTATGCTTGCAAACTAGTGCGTTCATCTGTTTTCGTCATGCTGTTGGTGCAACAGCTTGAGCACGCTAATAAATTCTCCCATTGCTTTTGCCTATGAGCAAATGTAGTTTAGGTGATATCCCCTACCAGGGGTAGGTGAACTGTTTAGCTATAGAAAAAGAGAAGCTGGATGGATTTTATTTAATAGTGAAATCTGGTCTTGGGTATTTCACTGTTATGTAATACATGCAAATAATATTTTTCCTTGTGATTTGTCTGACAATAAATTATTGAAAAGCTCTCATCTGACAGTACTTTTTCCTCTCTTGGATATAGTTCAGGAATTGGAATTGGAGGATACCGAGCTCAATTAATTTTAATGTCTTGGAGCTAGAAGCAAAGAAACTAAGGGATATTCTGTCAATGTATGGAAGGCTTTGATCTGAGACAGCAGCAACCTGTTCACCAGACTGTGATTCACCTTGAACCATGGGCTGCTCTTGAATACCTGTATAAACTCTATGTATGAGCATGGATGTACGTCGATATGTAAATCAGCTTTAGGTCAAAAGGCGACCTGCAGTATTTGAATAATGTGTTGTATTGGATCTATGAATAAGATGACTGGTTATGAGAGTTCCTTGGGTTTCAGCAAATGAACCTAAATTCTAGTGAAAATTTATGTTTCATTGCACGATTGTCAATGCATCAGAATTGAATAAAAACAGAATAAGCCGTGTGGTAAAAAAGTTCAAAGCCTTGTGAAGAGCGGCGCTGTAAATGGTATCCAAATGATCTGCTTATAAATAGATTAAAACTGTAGAGGAAGTGTGGAATTTCAAAAGATATTCTATGAAAAAGATTTGATGCCTTCAATTCAAGGGATTCTTTGTCATGTGGAGAGCTGACATGGTGTATCCTTGCTGCCTTTCTGATGAGGAGGGGGAAAGACCCTTGGAAGCCACAAGATGAGCAGCACCTTACCAGACCAAAGGATGAAAGAGAAAGAGCACTCCAAGGGCTTGATGAAACCAAATAAGTCTTGTATCACAAAACAATGGACATTCATTACAAACCCTTGTTGCCCTCGGCCTCATCCTAGGCAACAATAATTGGTGCCTTCTGTGGGAAATGTTCTTGAGACTTCCCCTAAGTGAACATTTAACTCAAAACAACTAAGCTTCTGAAAATGGCTAACAAACAAGACAATAATCAAAATGCTCAAAACCTTGTCAACATAGACCAATTCAAAATGGTCCTTCATAGAATGGATAAGATCACTCAAAGAGTGGACAAGGTGGGGCTCTTGACAAGAGGAGGCCGCCCTGTCGAAAGCCAGGGGTAATATAGTTGGTGCTCCACTCACGCGCCATTGGTCCAGAGCCCCCTTGGCCCCTGCAAGGCCAACCCCTCAACGTCCAACAGTAGCAGCCGATAGGCGAGAAAGCCCCCGTTGACATCCTGCCTCCCCAACCAAAGGAGAGATGATCCAGTTGGGTCCCATGACAACCACTAGGACCGCGACCACTACCACCGTGTAGAGAGCCACTAGGACTAAGGTGGGTGCTCTGGTCACTACAATCCTCCTCTGAGGGCTGGAGGCCGACGCCACGCCTCTCCCTCACCAATATTGAACCTTCACGATCTCCTTAACGATTACTGAGCCTGAAAAGCCCAAGATGTATCGGCATCCAAAAATTTGGGGAATCGGGCCAACCCATTCTGTGTCAGAAAAAACCAGGGCGAGGCCCAGGCCCCCATCGACCAACGTCTTGGCGATCTACAGGCATAGATCGATGCCATTCAAGATGAAATCCGATAGGTGGAGGAGGGCCGAGGTGATGCCTCCACAAGTCAGAACCCCTCGTCCACCTGGATGGACACCTTTACTGACTCCATCACCTTGGAGCTGCTCCCATCTCATCTCAAGGCTCCCACCTTGGGGACGTACAATGGAACCACCAACCCGGACAACTACTTGGAGAGCTTTTGGGCACTCATACTTCTTTATGGGTACTCCGATGCCCTGACATGTCGAGTTTTCCAAGCAACCTTCAAGGGAGTGGCGCACAAGTGGTTTTCTACACTCCCTCCTCAATCCATCAACTTGTGGGAGTAATTTGCTGACCTCTTCCTCTCCCACTTCGTTAGCAGCCAACAGTGCTAGAAGACAGTTGTCTCACTTATGTTGATTAAGCAGAAGCATGGAGAAAACCTCTGAGCATACATCGATTGTTTCAAGAAGGAAGAGCTCAAAGTCTAGGACCTTGATCCCTTAGTCTCCACGCATGCCGCAATCAACGGCTTTCAACCTGGCCCCCTCATGTGGTCCATCTCCAAGACATCGCCCTAGAATACGGTGGAATTCTTGAAAAGGGCATAGAAGTACATCACCGCTGAGGAGGTCGAGGCCAGTGAACACCTCCAAGAGCCTAAGGTTGACACTAGTCGAGGAGCCTCAGAGAAGAAGAGAAAGGATAGAGACGGCCGCAACCACGACCACAATAATAACAACGACACTAACAAGAAGTTGTCGGCCCCTTCCTTTAGCAAGTACACGCCACTCAACTCCACCCAAACGCATATCCTCATGCAAGTAGGGAAGGAGGAATACAAGAAGTGGCCAGCCAAGATGAGGAGGAACCCCAAGAGGGGTAACCCAAAGAAATACTACAAGTATCACCGCGACACCGAGGATTGCTATGAGCACAAAAACGAGATCGAGTGCCTCATTTGCCATGGTCACTTGAAAGAATTCATGGGGGGTGATACCGTCGGTGCCTCATCCTCACAACAGTAGTAGCATCACACCTTGGCGGGAGTCATTGACGTCATCACCGGGGGCACGACCTCAGCTCAAAAGGTGTACGCCAGGCAACTCATCATCCGGGGCCCGACACCCAAGAAGCTGATGCCAAACGGTGTCATATCCTTCTTGGACGATGACCTAAAGGGGGTCTCGGTGCCCCATGACGATGCGTTGGTAGTGTCCATGACCATCGCGAATGGTGAAGAGGATACTTGTGGACAGTGGCTCTTCAGCAGACATCCTCTTCTATGACACCTTTGAGAAGATGAAGCTGACATTGAAGGGATGAGAGATCCATCATATGGATGGCCGAACCCTACAGGTAAGTTGGGTGAAATTTCAAAAATTTCCACTCCCCTCATCTGGGAATCACATTCCCTGTTTTAGAAAATCTGCATTTTCAAGGATCAATCTTGAAACATAAACCGAACCAGATCTGAAACCAGAAGCAGGAGAGGGATATACCTGATACGGAGAAACAGTATCTCCCAATGGAGGTGTTCATGCCCAAGGAAGGAACCAAAAACTGCTCCCACTAAAGATGGCGCAGTGTAGGATGGAGTAGAATCAACAATGTTCATCCAACGAACCGAATCCTTCACAAGAATTCGCTGGAGGCTATGAGCACAACTTCAGATCATTCTTTCTCCAAAGGCTGATATCAAGATCCAATCTTGATCGTTCCTGCTTGAAAGAGGAGATCAAACTGGCAGTTATGGCAGTGGCAGGAAGGAGGCGGCAAGGAGAAAATAGCTCAGTCTCACTAGGTGCTATGTTCTCTCTCTGATTTGAATGTGATGATCTTCTAAAAGTTGCCGCCCCCTTCTCCTTTTATAACCTTAAAGGGATCAACTCCTAATCCCATTACGAGTTGCTGATCCAAATCATATGTGGATCTGAATTCCCCTTAAGTGATAAGGATAGACCCTTATCTCATCTGCAGATTAGATCAGCCCTCTCCTAATCTTATCAGGAGGTTTCCAGATCTGAATCTGTATTCAGATTTGGACTCTCTGAGTGGATAGGGTTAGGACCCTATCCTATCTGCCTAGTTCGAAATGGGCTTTAGGCCCAATAAGAATATGTGCTCACTTAGCCTTCCAAACTACTGCCCAGTTGGGCTTCCTTGTATGGTGTGGGACCCAAACATTGATCTACACATTAGTCACAAGGGTTCGGCCCAACCTTTGTTACAAGGCCTAGCCGAATTCACTGGAAAGCCCAGTGAACCCCTTGAACCCATCACATGGACTTTATGGGCCCAACACTTACACTAAGTGGTCCCTGGGCCAAGCCACCTTGTAACACCCATCAGGTATTACCCTCAATGGTCTTACACTTAACCTCTTAGCCCATAATGATCAAACACTGCCCGACAAGAGAGGACCTCTCCCTCGGCTGCAAGGAACAGTGTTGCACTCTCTACTCACATGGATCACGGGAATTAA